TTGTGCTCTAAAGAATGGGAATTCCAGTTTATGGAGAAATTGATTCTTTTTTTTTTTCAATTCAGAAGGAGAGACCAGCATTTTGGATTTCTCCATGATGTGACACAGGAGGTAATCCCAGTTCCAGGGCAACATGTATGGCAGGCTGCCACAGATCTTGGGAGCTCTGACACACTCTGCCTCTTCAGCAGCCCAGCAGAGTTCTATCACACCTTTGAAATGGAACATTCTCCATAAAACATTTGCATTTTATTAACCAACAAATTAAAGGAACAACTATAAATCAGAGGAATTCTTCTGGCTAGCCATCACCACATCTCTTCCTCATTAAATTAGGATTTTCTAGATACTAACGTCTGTCAGAATCTCTCATTTTTACATATTAGCATGTTTCGCACCCTTAATACTATCTTATGAAGAAAAACCTACCAAGTTTCTAGACAAATCTAATTCTTTCAATCAAACATTTTAAAACTGTTTTTATTTCATTGCATTTATTTTAGTGTAAAAAATATAATTAATATTTTAGTCAATATAGGACTTGTTCTGTTATGGTAAAATGTGTTATTAGGTAGAATTGTGTCAATGTTTTGTCTTGAAATTCAACTAGGATGTCGTTGTTGTTTGTTTTTCTAATGTTGTCCTTTTTATTTTCCATGGCTTTAGAGACCTGGCTCTTAGTCACTTTGTAAAAGACAATGGGAATGCCACAAACCAGAGGTTCTCATTGTTTTTTAGACTCAAAGAATCCCTCAGAAAATGCAAGCTCTTAGCTTTTACTAATTTTTTTTCCTAGGAAAAAATATGGAGTAATTCTTCTCTTGCAAAGAACTCAGACTACAAGAGGGCAGAATGTTTTTGACACTTTTGATTCCTATTTGAAATCTCTGGAGTTATCTCTTGAATTATGTGTAGGTGGTTGTAGTAGTGCTAATATTGTGTGGTATCCCACAGAACCCTTAGAAGGATCTGTCGGCACCACAGGGTGCTGCCACACCCTGGCTAGTAATCACCGCCTTACAGTTTTCCAACTATTTTTTCCATACAGCTAAGCAATTGAAGAGACAATCTCCAAAGAGAGTCCCATCCAACCCTGCCCCATTAGAATGGTGCTGCTTGCCAATCAGGGAAGAAACGGGGATTCTCTGCCAAGGGAAGGAAAAGAAAGTATTCTAAAACAAAACCTGATAAGAGAGAGAACTGAAATACCAATTGTATTTCATTAAAGACTCAAGCTAATTTTACAAAGAGATTTTTCTGGTTTTGTTGTGGCTGTAGAAACATTGAATCATATAATCATAGAAAATTAGGGTTGAAAGGGACCTCGGGAGGTCATCTAGGGACCAACCCCCTGCTCAAAGCAGGACCGGACCATCCCCAACTAGATCATCCCAGCCAATGCTTTGTCTAGCCAGGTCTTAAAAACCTCCAAGGATGGAGATTCCACAGCTTCTCTGGGTAACCTGATTCAGTACTTGACTACCCTCCTAGTGAGAAAGTTCTTCATAATAGCTAACCTAAATGTCCCTTGCTGTAACTTGAGATCATTGCTCCTTGTTCTGTCATTTACCACCACTGAGAATAGTCTAACTCCATCCTTTGGAACCCCACTTCAGGTAGTTGAAGGTGGCCATTAAATTCCCTCTGTTTTCTCTTCTCCAGACTAAATAAGCCCAGTTTCCTCAATCTCTCCTCAGAGGTCATGTGCCTTAGCCCCCTAACCATTTTTGTTGCCCTCTGCTGGACTTTCTCCAATTTGTGTACCTCCTTTCTATAGGAGGGGGTGGGGGGCAAAACTAGATGCGTTACTCCAGATGTGGCCTCACCAGTGCTGATTAGAGGGGAATAATCATTTCTCTCAATCTGCTGGCAATACACCTACCAATGCAGCCCAGTATGCCATTAGCCTTCTTGGCAAGAATGGCACACTGTTGGATCATATTCAGCTTCTTGTCCAATGTAACTCCAAGGTCCTTTTCTGCAGAGCTGTTGCTTAGCCAGTCAGCCCCCAGCCTGTACCAGTGCATAGGATTGTTCTGTCACATTACTCAACTGACTTCATGAGAGGATTAGACCCTGAGATGGGTCATTGACTGGTAGAACCCTGCACTCATACCCATCTCCAGGGAAGTCAGTGAGGTGTCATGTGGGTGCAGGCATCCACCTGCATAGGTGTGACTGCGGGACCAAGATATAGAAATGCATATAAGTGTTTGCAGCACTCAGCTGTCCTGGATACCTGACACATGGAAGGTATTGAATTTTAGCCATTTTTAAAAATGAAATCTCCATATTTTCCCAAGCAGGAAGCAACTTCAACCACCTGAAACCTGTGATACTGTTATTGACTTTGTTTAAGGTAATTTTCATCATCACAGAGCCTCACAAGAGACCTGAGAGATTCCTTACCAGCTAAGAACTGCCTGCCCAGAGGAGTTTTCCATATATTGACTCCTCTGTGAAATCCCATGAAATATGAACTTTCATTTCTACTCAGGAGAACTTTTACAGTCTTTTCTCCAGTGCCTAATAAAGGGTGTTTGTGCCCAAAAGTTTGCAATTAAAGATTTTTTTTTTTGCAAAAATCTTGTTGATCTAAAAAAAAATATCATCTTCACCATAAGCCCTGATTGTTTTTTCCTTTAGACCAATATGGCTGCAACCTGGATACCTGGCCCATAGAGAGCATTAATTTCACCTGATGTCATGTCCTGGTAAAATTCCTGTGGAGAAATTGCAAAGCAATCAAGGACAGAAAAGTCACTGATTCAATCATTTAGAGTGATAATAAATATTGCCACCATGTAAATAGCATCAGCTGGATATAGAAACAAGCTGCCGTTCCAATATGAAGCACATAAGTAACAACAATATCCTTCAGAAGATAACAAGACTTTAAATACGGGCAGTCCTCGACTTACAACATTTCGAGTTACAGCATTTCGCACTTACAACATTTATAAATTGACACCCTTTTTCAATTTTCTGATGTCAGTTTTGACAGTTTTGACTTTACAACACCCCAAAATATGGGGAGAGGTGGGCACATTAGCAGGGAGGAAGAGACTGCAGAAAGACCTGGATAGGTTGCAGGGGTGAGCTAACAAAAACAGGATGCGTTTCAATACGGACAAGTGCAGGGTGCTGCACTTGGGCAATAGTAACCGGCAGCACACTTATAAGATGGGAAACTCCCTTCTTGAGAGCATGGAGGCAGAAAGGGATCTTGGAGTCATTATTGACTCCAAGATGAACATGGGCCGACAATGTGAGGTCACGGTCGGCAGGGCTAACCAGACCTTATCATGTATCCACAGGTGCATCTCAAGTAGGTCCAAGGAGGTGATCCTCCCCCTCTACGCGACACTGGTCAGGCCGCAGCTGGAGTACTGTGTCCAGTTCTGGGCACCCCACTTCAAAAGGGATGTGGACAACATTGAGAGGGTCCAGAGGAGGGCCCCCCACATGATCCGGGGACTGCAGGGCAGACCCTACAACGAGAGGTTACGGGACCTGAACCTGTTCATCCTTCACAAGAGAAGGGTGAGGGGGGACCTGGTGACCATCTATAAACTCACTAGGGGGAACCAGAAGTGTTTGGGGGAGACCTTGTTTCCCCTAGCGCCCCCCTGGGATAACAAGGAATAACGGCCACAAGTTGTTGGAGAGTAGGTTTAGATTAGACATCCGTAAGAACTACTTCACAGTTAGGGCAGCTAGGATCTGGACCCAACTTCCAAGGGAAGTGGTGCTCGCTCCTACCCTGAGGGTCTTTAAGAAGCGGCTTGATGCCTACCTGGCTGGGGTCATTTGAGCCCAGTTTTCTGCCTGCCCAGGCAGGGGGTCAGACCTGAAGATCTGCGAGGTCCCTTCCGACCATACTTCTATGATTCTATGAACACTTGATCTGATGCAATGCCATGTCAGTGACCAGGTTTGCTGCATCACCCATCTCCCTGGAGAACATCTGTCCAAACTTCCTTGGACACTTTCTTTAAGAAAGCAGACAAGGCTCCAGAAAACCCTGCAGCCAAGACTCTTGAGAAGACTCCAACCAAGAGCCCTTCAAAAAGTCCAGCAAAGTCACCTCAAAGAAGTCCTTCCAAATCAATATGATTGCTATTTACGATATAAATACATTAATGTAGCTATATTATTCATCTATAATTGATTAAGTACAAAGTTCTGGGGTATTTTGGTGAAAATAGGGTATCAGGCTTTGGTTCAGGAACCAATCCCATTTATAACATTGTTTCCTATGGGAAAAATAGTTCCAAATTGCAACATTTCCACTTAAGACGCAGTTTTCAGGAACCAATTGTGTTGTAAGTCTGAGGACTGCCTATACACATGTATGTTTGGTACGTATTGCTCTACCTACCATAATGCACAACATTCTTTCATATTCAATACACAAGTCATGATCTCTTCTTCAACGAGCTGAATTTGATGATGATGATGATGACTTTTCATGGCAATGGGGACTGCCAAACAGTGCTTTCTCCTTAAGACTCTGATTCAGAAAAGCATAAACTTAACTTCAAGCATGTGTGTCATTCCATTAACTTTGGAGGACTACTTACATACTTAATACTAAGTGCACGTGTAAGTGTTTTGTTAAAACAGATTCTAGGTAGTTAATTGTACCCAAAATATCTGATTTGCTAGGTTCATACAGAATAACATTTTACTGTACATCTTTACTACAACTGCTGATTAAAATGTTAAAGATACTTCATTAGGTCTCCATTAGTAATTTTAATTTTCATTGCCTATTTGATTTGTGATGAACAAATGTGCATGCCTACATGAACTCAAGACCCGTGAAATGATTAAGGTAAAAAAATAAAGGCACATTGTGGGTTCAGGACATCTATAATAAACCTGAGCTTCATCAGCATTTCTAAGTTTTAACCAAGAAATATTGATTCATGTTTATTATATTTTATGGCACTTTACAGCAATTTATAACACTTACATTAAGGAAGAGATGGGCTGGGATAAAAGCCAATATGGGTATGAAAAAGATGAAGTGCTGTCAAGAATAGCAACTTTCAAGTATCAGGTACGGCTCTTGTTTTCACACTTTATCATGCCTATTTAATATATGATAGTGGGATTTCATGATTAATTTTAAAATACAAAATCTAGCAGATGACACTTTATACACCAAGTCACTGGAGGCATATCTTTTTCAGAATGATATTGCCTCAAAACTCTGAAGCCAAATGGAAAATATGTTCAAGGCAAGAGAACAAAGCCAAAGTAAATACATCAAGAAAGATATGTAGAAAAGATGTAGGTGTGGGTAGTAATGAATTTATATCCTAAAGATAAACCACATAGATAAATCCTAAATACTGTGCTTCTCAGTCTTAGAACTTAAGGGACCTGAGCAGAAAGACAAAGCAAGAATACAATTGGCTAGGGCAGTGCATTAAGGAATATATTTTGCCTTTTCCACCTAGGTGAAATCACTCTGACTTTGACTTTTGCCTGACTAGAAATATACAATATGAATCCCAACTGCACAATGATGTCTGAGTCTAAGCATAGTCCAGACATTTTTGACAAAACTAAAAGTTGTGAAATAAACCCAACTTCCATATCATTGTGTGTCCTCATAAAATGGAATCGTGATTATTACCGTGAAGGTTTGGACCTTCCTCCTAGAGTCTGATCCCAGTGTCATATGCCCTGCACTCATTCTCAATCAGATTAACTTCAGCGAGATATTGCATTGGAGGGGCACATTTATACTATACTGATCAGGCTCCAAGATGGGAATCCTGGATGTGTACACTGCCCATTCCTTATCAGATTTGTCAGTCTTGGTGTGGTTTTATTTTTTTTAATGATAATGTACAGCCTCAGAAATGGTGCTATATCCATGTTCCATATGAAGAATAACCATAATATGGAACTGTACAAGAGAGGCATGTTTTAAAATGTTCTTTGTGTTTTTACTGACAAATATTTTTCCTTTTATGCTTTTCAGCTGAAAGTGCTTTTTTAGGGGATGGATGGCAACTCAGCCTGAGGCATGATATAATAGACACAAATGCACCACCTGCTGTGCCCTATTGCTTGAATATTGCACTATTTAATACCAAAATGACCCTAAGTGCTTGGATGACAATTCCAAAATGGCCCATAAATACTCAGTGTAGAAGGGGAATTTAAAAGCTAGAGTACAATGAATAATACTGCACTTGCACAAAAGGGAATAGGAATAAATTTAATTTTCTTAAGTATCTTGCAGTGACAGCCACAAACATTTGTTCAGAGGAAATACAAAATGAATATGCAGTATCTGGTGTGGAGTCAGCGAAGCAGAAAGAATAAGGATTGCTAAACAAACTAACATAAAAAAATCATGTCATTTGGATTGGTGAGTAAAACTTATAAAGGACCCATTTCTGGGAGAATCTAAGGACCTTATTACACATTACACTTTGAGCTGCTTGAGTCTGGAGTGGTAACACCTTAAGGCTAAAAACCTTCTCTGACTTTCCTCTACCTGCACAGCTGTGACTTGCCACTAGAGGTTTGGCAAGCAGGGGCGTTGCTAGGAACTGCGGCTATGAGATGCCACTACAGGGCCAATGATGCCACTACAGGGCCAGTGAGGGGGGGGCAGGAACATGAAGTGAGAGGCAGAGAATTAATGGGATAGGGGTGGGTAATGAAATGGGAGCTGGTAAGTAAATGGGGGTAGGGAATGGGTGGTGAAATGAAAGAAGGCAGCCACTAAAGGATTAAATAAAAATAAGTTAAAAAAAAAGTTAAAAGAAATAGGAAGTAAATTAAAGAAGGTCTCCTTTTTAATAAATTAGTATTTGGGATTGTGTGTGCGCATGTGTGTGTGTGTGGGGGGGGGGGTGCCGGATATGCTTCCCTGGGTGGTTGGGTGGTGGCAGTGGTGAGGGCAGGCACTTTTGGGGCAGTTACTGCCCCTGTCCCAGGAAGGAAGCCCTAGTTCAGGGGGACTGTCAGGCTGTGGCCTTGAACACAGGACCCTGGCCTGCCTGCTCATCCTGGTCTGTCACCTCCTCAACAGAACACTGCAGCAGACACAGGTGGCCAGAGCTCTGCATCTGAGCCTACTCACATACCTACTCCCTGCCACTGCAGTGGCCAGCCCAGGTCAATTGACCCTTCACACCTTCCTGACCCAGGAGAGGAAGTGTCCAGGCAACAAGGTTCAACCTTGTCCTTAGGCTGCTGCACCCTTGGCTAGTGCTGACTCTCAAGATACCTGATCCAGCTTGTCCACAGACCCGAAGTTTGGCCTGACTCCCTTGGATACCTGACCCAATTCTGGTTTGATTTCCTACATACCTGACCGGGCTAACCACCTGACCACACACTCTGCCTGACCCTCTGGATCTCTGACTTGGTTCCCCAGGTGGATCTCCAGACTTCTGGCTTCCCTACAACTGGGCGCCGGCGACT